GAATTTAATTAGTTTCACCTTTTTCTTCCTAAAGTGGATGTTTTTCTTCCTAGAGTGGATGTACTTTGGATTTGGTCCAGGTTATTTGATATTCTCATTTTTTCAAAGATGTAGAGAAAAAGTAAATAGAATTAGTTCATTCATTTCAAAATGTGTTTCTTTTGTTGTAGATTCCAACAATATGTTCCGTTGAATGTCACTCTTCTCTTTTCTCAATCATAGATTTTTTATATGAATAAAATTGTAATTTATATGTTATTATTTTGTATTGCCCTTGATAAAGGAATTGCTTGAAACTTGTTTCTGTACAATGAATTATTGTTTTTCTTGCACTTTCTCTCCCCTTTCAGTAGGATATAGATTAAATTCATTCACACAAAGGTAGGGAATCCTGGACATTAACTGGGATTATTGAAGGCCAAAAGTATGGAAATATTCTCCCTTGACATAAAGCCAGATTTCTTTCTTCCCTGTTTGAGAGTGGTTGCCATATACATTCAACTATCATATTCAATAAATTAATAGAACATTCTTCCTCGATTAGCAAGGCAGTCAAAGTGAAAGATTACCCTTTGTCTTGGTTCAGTTGCTGTGGAGACCACCACCATGTTGCAGAGGGTCAGAGCAAGAAAGAAGTCTGTGATGGAAGAGGTGGTCCCTCCAGCTGTAAAGGATTTCAAAGCTTCTGGTGGGCATGAGAGGTTCTTCATTTTCATCAGCAGTCTGTTGTCAGGGGTCACATCTTTCTCCTGAAATGCATTATTATTCAGTTAAAAAAAAACATTTGCAGGATTAGGATTGTATGAAAAATAGCATCTTGTGCTGGGTGTTGTAAAGCTTTCCAGAACACTGTGTTTGTACAGAATGATAACAATCTAAACCAGGGGTAGTCAACCTTGGCTCTTTTATGACTCGTGGACTTCAACTCCCAGAATTCCTGAGCCAGCTAAGCTGGGAGTTGAAGTCCACGAGTCATAAAAGAGCCAAGGTTGACTACCCCTGATCTAAACACAAAGGCAACAGGGAAACTTACTTCAGTTGCTGAATATAGCCACGCATATATAACCATTCTCCAATATTACAGTTCACGTGTCAGTTTCAACAGGGGTCAATAGCACATAGGTTTCCGTTCTTCTGAGGTCATTAAAATGAGGACCCTGTAAACTGCTTGGAGAGGGCTGAAAAGTCTTATTGCTATTGCTATCACATGTGGCCCTCTAATTTTCTTCAGATTGTGCTCCTAAATTCAGTGGTGAAGTGCCTGGACTGTGATTCTTTAATTTTTTTTTTGCTTTTGGGGGGGCACATGAAAGGAAATAAATGCCCAAAGCCTCAGACAGAAGGGTCTATGACGATTCGCTGCAGCCAACTTGCCATGGCCAATTCACCACAGCCATCTCACCACAGGACAACTTCACTATGGGACAAGAGTTACACTAATATCAAAGAAATGGTGGAATAGAATCATTAAAGAAAGGATGCAAAAGGATGAAGTGTGAATGGCAAAAATATAAGCAATTTTTATTTATTTTAAATAATTAAATAGAATTGTGAAATTGTCCTGCGGCGAGTTGTCCTGCGGCAAAGTGGCCGTGGCCAGTTGTCCCACAGCAAGCTGGCTGTGGTGAGTTCGTTGCAGCGAATTGGCCGTGGCAAGTTGGCTGTCCCATTCCCCAGACAGAATTAGCTTATTATCAATAATTGCCAAGTTTCCTAAAATATGAAAAATGTACCCTCAGTGTTCTGCCCCAGCCTCCCTTGGGAAAGACACCAGGTCCTGCCATGCTTGTCTCTGCCCAAGAAGCCCAAAAAATGTTTTCAAAGTATTATCCATCGTTAAAAAAAAAATATTTGCACCTGCATTATATTCAACATCTAGAAGAGAATATTTATAGCTCAGGGTTGAACTGTGGGGTCCTTGGTGCTGTCTGAGCTAGGTCGTTTTCCTGCAGAGGTTTCATTACCAAAACTGATGATGTTGCCTAGTTTGGTAATAACACATCTAAGAAAACAAACAAGCTCAGAGAGCACCAAGGAGTCTACAGTTCAGCTTCTTTGTATCTTACTTTTGGAGGGATTGGATATCATTTGCTGGATGCCAGAGACATTTTACTAAATACCGCTGGCTCCAAGCTGGGAAGGAATAGGGCTGGGTGAAGACAGATCTTTAGGCTTCCTTCATGTGTAAAGGCAGAGAGTCATAACTAACAACAGTCAGCAGTGACTGTTTTTGTTGCTTGCTCTCACTGCTCCATATTTATATCTAATTCTCTTTCAATAACCAAAAAAGCACATTTGCATTAGCAGAACAATAATCTGCCTAGACCAATTGATTTGTTCTTCTCATTTGCATTTGCCTCTCTGCATCATTTGCCTGATTTTTGCCTAATATTTTAAGAATGCGCTCACATATAATTTTGCCCATGTAATGTAGCTACCTGCCTGATTTCTTGCCAATGGTCTTAAGAGACAGGTATTTGAAGGAGTCATTGTACTAACCTTTAACTCCTGTGCCTTCGCGGCATGCTAATTTATTTCTTATTCTTTTTACCTCCTTATTATTCCTGACTCAGAAAAAAAAATCAACGAACTATATATTTGGGGCATATGCCAGGATATGCTTTTATACATAAGAAGGGATATTTAAATGGAACCCAATTTATCTGCTCCTGATACAGTTTTTTAAAACAGAAATTTCTTGTTCCATATACACACTTTCCCTGCCTGAAGAGTTAAAAACTTGTGAAACTACTTGCAGCCAGAGGCTGCTGAAGGTGTGTGTGTCTTACTTTGTTCTGCGGCTTGCCAGAAACGTGGGAACATTTGGGGAAAATTGGAGCAAATAAAGGGCGGTTTGAACTGCCAGTTGACTGTTTTGCCTCTGGGTCATCACAATTACCCTCCATTTCTTATAGTTACAGCTGAGACTTTTTTTCTTCCCTAAACCAGCTGTAGGAGCAAGGTTATATAATTTAAAGAAGTGAAAGGCCATACTTACAAGGGTGCTGCTAAATGCCACCTGCGATGGAGCTATTCCCCACAGACCCTGATATTTCTTTCTTGCATGTCCCTGAAAATGGGGCCGAGCACTATGACATCTTTGCAAAGGCCTAGCATTGTTTCTCTGTGTTAGTGTGGTTGTTTCTCCAACTTTGGAGGGGAGGCTCAAATGTTTTTTCCAGTCTTCATTCTCTGAATCAAGTTCCTTATAAGAATCCAGCCGCTTAGCTATAAGAGATAGAAAGAACCAAGAAAGTGTAGTGGTTAAAATGTTGGACTTGAAAGACCCAGCATCAAATCCCCACATATACCAGGGCTCACTAGGTGACTTTAAGCCAGTTATGCTCATCAATCTACTCTACATGAGTTTTAGTGAGATAAAGAAGGAGATCACCGTGTTTGTCCCTTCAAGCTCCTAAGAAAGGTGCCCCTTCTATTAGTTCTGGCAGGGCAGGCAGAAACAATGGGGGAAAGGCAGTCCTGCAAGTCATTGTGGGATAGGAATTAAGGGCAGTGGTGGGATTCAAATATGTGAACAACTAGTTCTCTGTGTAGATGCCGCTTCTAGAAGTCCATTCTGGGCCTGGGCACAAAAAATTAGGTACCGGTTCTGCCGAAGTAGTGCGAACTGGCTGAATCTCACCACTGCTTAAGGGGAATGGGGGTCAGGTGCAAGAGATCAGGTTCACATGTGAAGGTCTAATTAAATTGATTTATTGCTACTCATGCCTATGCACAGTAATAGGCTCAACTAATGATGAGCCCCTGCTAGGAATTCAGGTCCCTTACACACAATCTAGGAGTTAGATAGGTTAGATAGGGATGAATGTAATTCAAGGGGGGGGGGTGGACTTAGCTTGCTTGTGGCTATGTAGAGATTCTAGGCTGATCCCTCTTTTAATTCCACCCTCAGGTTCTGCCACTCCTTTCCCTACAATGGGGTGTTTGAAGGCACTCCCACACAACTAGGGATTTTATTTTTCCCAAAGTTTGCTGCATTTCTGCATTGCTTTGTGCATGTCCTCCTGGTTGTTCCTTGGGATGGGGGTGAAGTTGAAGTAGCCAATGGTTTCTCTTGCAGGGAATAGTAAGCAAAAAATTGTGAAATCCCCAGAGTTGAGATGAGGTTCCCTCACATTTCCAAAATAAATGCTGGATGGATATCTTATGTTTGTTTAAAGCTGAAGCTGAGCTGATCTTGGTTCAGTTTCTCCTCATACAAGTTCCTTGTTTTCACAGAGGTGCAAAGAGCCAGCATCTATCTCAAAATACCCTTTTGTACCCTTCTGTGTGTAAGAGACCTGAATCACAAAGTGTTTACACTCCTCTATAGATAAATGCACGTATGATATAGTCCTGTCTCCTTTATTTGCACACAACATATCCTGTAGTCTAACTCCTTCTCAACTCCCAGGAAAGGACTAAGCTGTGGGACATTTGCTTTTCATATTTGAGGGAATTTCTTTCTCCTCAGCAGTTTTCACATTCAGACTAATTTAGCAGTTAAGAGCAAGCCAACAAACCTTACCATTTTCCTGATGTGAAAATTCCTTCCCATTAATTGTACATCTTCGAAATACCATCTTGTTCTCCGTCAGTGTCCCTGTTTTGTCAGAGAAGACATACTGAACTTGTCCCAGGTCTTCAGTGATATTGAGTGCTCGGCATTGTATGGGCAAATCTTTCTCTTCATTATACAAGTCAATATCATTATGAATTAAGAAGACTTGACCCAACTTGACTAGTTCAATTGATATATAGAGGGAGATAGGAATTAAGATCTGAAAGAAGACATTTTTCAGCATGTTAGAAATTCTTTTGCTGGATAATTTTCTGTTTCTTTTTTGACATTAACAATGATTGCTACAAGATGTCTTCGCAGAGATTTCCATAACATCCCCATGTCTAACTCTGACTTGATAGCCCTTCAAATCTACAGAGTACCCACCCATTCCAGTGCCTCTTTCTCAGCCATCCTGGAGCTCAACAGAAGTCAGGAAAATAATGACATTTATTTTCCATGGCTGGTAAATTTTACTGTAATATTTATAGCAGTTTTAGCACTTGATTTTTATTATCTGCTTGATATTGTTTTTAAATTTAACTTTCAGATTGAATGGAACATTGTAATTATATTACTGTTTTTATGGTTGCTGTTTTAAACTTTACTGTTAGATCCTGTAAGAACCTTTTTAAAGAGTGACCTTCAAATATAAGAAATGAATCTATAGTGACACATTATAGTAAGAATATATAATAATACAGACTACAATGGGATTCTTCTGCAAAGTTGTAATATAAAATAGTATGGATTTATATTGGATTAGATCTACTACTTTTACTCTAAAATTGGAGCACTTTCTAAATAAATTTCTGCTCAGAATTTTCCAATGAGATCATTCTCTCCCTGTTTCTTTGCAATCACTGGCACTTTTCATTTCTGTCTGTCTGTCTGTCTGTCTGTCTGTCTGTCTGTCCGTCCGTCCGTCCACCCACCCATCTATTTGGAATGACCAATTTCTTGCAGCTTCTACACCATGTCTAAAACTCACTCTGAAAAGTCTTGCATGCTCAGGAACCTGCTTGACTAGGTGAAAATAGAAATTTGCAGTCTGCTGGGTGTATTTAGAATTCTGTGTAGATCTTCCAAACCAAATTTCCTTCTTGAACTGTATTTGCATTACAGGTAAATTTTACTGCTACTCATACAAACCTGAATATTTTGTCCTGCAAACAAATTTGCAGCTTGGGTCAAGGACTAAAATTTAGACAGGTAAAATGGCAATGATTTATGTTATAGTATGGCAGCCTCAGCCTGATCCCCACCTTCACATTTTGTGAGCTGCTTTAACTTTTAACCCTGAGCCAGGATCAGTTTTCTTTCCTAGTTTATATAGTAACTTCCTTCTGCATGACAAAAAGCAGGAATGACATTGTCCATAAATAATAAAACAATTGTATATGTATTTATATGTACAATTTGATTTGATTTGATGCTTCCTGATTCTAAATGATTCTTAATTATAAAAGGTTGGGCTTCTTTCTTTTTGTTGTTGTATTTCTTCTCCTACATGCCAGGATTACAATATAGAAATTTCTAAAAATCGGTGCTGTAATTTCCCACCCAGTTGCTAGTAAAAAAATTAAAGAAATAGGCCAGTGGTGGCGAACCTATGGCATGCGTGCCAGAGGTGGCACTCGAAGCCCTCTCTGTGGGCACATGCACCGTTGCTCCAGCCCCGCCTCCTCCCATGGCCCCCTCCTCACCAGCAGCCCCACCAGAGGAGAGTCGCCCCCGGGGGCGGCCCATGCTAAGCAGCCCAGCCAAGGACATGGTAGCCGGGCAGCGGGGACAAGATTCCACCCTTGTATCCCATCGCGTGTAGATGATACTGCGGGACACGGGTGGAGGGCGTGGTTGCCATGGCGCTGTTGTGATCTGTGGCGGGCCGTGGAGGTGGTGGGTGGCCCAGCGGGCAGGGTGGAGCGGGGACGGGGTGAGGGGAGGTTTTGGGGCACTTCGTCTCTAAAAGGTTCACCATCACTGAGATAGGCTTTTAGTTGGGACTACATATGTACAGTAGGAAACTACAACAGAAATCCTCAGAAACTTTAAGCCTTGCTCTGTCTTCTGCTCTTTCTCTGCAGAAAGAATACTTTAAAAAAGTGTGGTCCAACCAAGACTACAAAATATTCTTTGTTCCACATCTAAAATCATATTTAAAGATTACCACTAAAATAATGAGATGCTGTTTGAAGCAGTAGTATTAATATTGAGATATTTCTCTCAACCATTGATTGGTTCCTAGCTGAAAGAAGAATAACAGAGCTTATTTACAGCTCTTTCATATTTTAAAAGTGCATTTGAGGAGTAGTTATGTGATTATTATTAACCAAACAAGAATAGATCAATAATGTATTTTCCTGCACTGCAACGAGGAAGGCTAAACTGAAGCTGTGATACTGAAAAGAAGATGCTTGTCCAAGGGTGTCTCTTGAGTTCAAGGCTGAGATACAGTGTGAATTGGGGTTCACAGCTAGCTCATCATTAAGCTGCTTCACTGTTCTGTTTCTTCATGGCGCTGCCTATGTTTCCTTGAAAGAAAGCCCCTGTAATGTAACTGAGATGTAATCCTGAGGTAACACATAATCTTAAACCTCCTTTTCTCATTCATGCAATAATGATTTTTCCCACCTGTAAAAGGATGATCATTGTCAGGAATGTGTAGAAACCTG